TTGTTTGGAAGTTACTTTGGCCATTTAAGCTAATGGAACAGTTAGGGTCCCAAGCGAATTAGTTTCCTAGAACAAAAGATAGATCTACGGAGAAGCACAGAGAAAGTTGGAGAGAAAACTATCTTCTTGAGAGCTAGACGAGAAAGTTAAAAGAAAAAGAAGAGAAATAGGAAGAAAATTAAAGGAATTCAAATTATCGTTTTTAGACTTGAGAATTAAACGCTTAAGTGATTTCGTAAAACTTAAATGAGGTGTTTAATGTTAAAACTAGGATCGTTATGTGACAATGACTCAGTAAATTCTCTTGCAGAGAGGCTAAGCAAGATTAGTTTAAGTTAAACTTGGCCACTCGAGCAAATGAAACAATTAGGGGCGCAAGCCAATTTGTTTGCTGAACAAAAGAGTATGGAGAGGCACGGAGAAAGATAGAAACTTTCTGCTTTGAGAGCCAGAAGAGAAAGTATAAGAGAAAAGAAAGAGAAATTGGAAGAAAGTCAAAGGGAATTCATTCAAATTCATCCTTCTGGGCTTGAGAATTTAACACTTAAATGATTTAAGAAACCATAAATGTGGTGCTTATGTTAAACTGATATCGTTAAGCTATAAATATTCAGTAAATTCTATTGCTCAGTTGCTATGCAGGATTAGGTTGAGTTAAACCTGGCCAGTTAAGCGAATGACACATTTACGGAACCCAAGCTAATTAGTTACTAGAACAGAAGGGAGAAGCATGGAGAAGCACAGATAAAGTTAGAGAGAAACATTCTTCTTGAGAGCTAGAAGACAAAGTTAGAGAAAATGAAAGAGAAATACGAAGAAAATTATAGGGAATTCAAATTGATCCTGTTGGACTTGAGAATTGAACACTTGGGTGCTTTTGAAAACCTCAGATGGGATGTTTAAATTGAACTAATATCTTTAGGCTACAGTTACCTCGTAAATTCATTTTCTTGGGGGCTAAGCAAGATTAGTTTGATTTCAACCTGGCCACTTAAGCTAATGAAACAATTAGGCGCCCAACTAATTAGTTCCTAGAACAAAAGAGAGAAGGATGGAGAAGCACAGAGAAAGTCAAGGAGAAACTATCTTCTTGAGAGCTAGACAAGAAAGTTAGAGAAAAGAAGGAGAAATTGGAAGAAAATCAAACGGAACTCAAATTCAACCTTTTGGACTTGAGAATTGAACACTTAGGAGATATCGAAAACCTTAAATAAGGTGTTTAAGTTAAACTAATGTTGTTAAGTTACAATTACTCAGTAAGTTCTCTTTTTTTTTTTTGGGTGAATAAGTCATAAAATGAAAGACAAAAAACTTACTCCACGACAAGGGGCATACCCTAACCAAAGCACTATACAAGAACCAAAGGAGAAACAAAAAGACTAAGCCATTCCAGAATTACCCAGAAAGACTGACGACCAAACCATATCTATCTGGACAAAATAAACAAAATAAATCAAAAACTAAACTAAATAAACCATACATAATAGGAAGTAACCAAAGTGTGTTCATGCATGAAAATGTAATGAGGAACATGAACACACTCGATATCTAAGTAGCAAAAAGTCGGATGGAAACAGAAAATCACGGACGCCCGTGTACATCCCACGCGAGTAGGCAAAAATACCAACACACCCTAAAGAAAACAAACATAATGGAAAGTCAATCTTCACACACGAGGCGCATATAGCAGCCATCAACACAATCATATCCAGCTTCGAGCTTCGAGTCAACCCGAACTGAAGAACAAACCATGCAGCACCATCCAAGAACTGTTGCTAAACCATGTAACCCAAACAGATTCTACACATTATAGTAGACCTTGTAATCTAGCAAAGACCAAACAGAATTAAATAATCATCAACAGAGTACTTTGCGAGACTCAGAAACATGAAACATTTAACATCACACATATAATTGCTCACTACACTCAACCCACAAGTATCTATGCTCACATCACTCGGAAAAACAAAGCTCCATACACCCGCAAAAGAAAAGACACAGAGAATATATAAAAGCTTGTTAGTTCCTCTCAATGTGGCTAGTAATGTGGGGGATATGGTGTGTTTATTCCTCACACGAAACTCAACCCTCAGATTGATTGGCATACACTCAACAATCGGCTTTCTAGGACTCCAAGCACCTATATGAATAACAAACATTAGGAAACCCCACAATGTAGTTTCTAACCTTCACTCAACCCACATTTTATGAACTCTTATTCCTCACATCAGCAGCAACAAGCTTCGGCATAGTATGAGGCAATTTCCATGAGCTAAGATACCATCAGTCGTTATGGTTAGTCTTCAAATTGGTAATATGCATTACCCTGAATCTAACCATATCCACAATACACTTTATAACAACCCCTTCAGGGACTATATCTTTACTAAACACTCTATTATTCCTAGCAACCCATAACTGGTATGCAGTACAAGTAAATGCAAGCTTGGTAATAATAGTCCCTAAGGAATTCCCTTTCACAGATTTAGCCTGGACCAAATCATCCCAAAGGAGGGATGGCCGATCAACATTGATTTTACCTTTAATACAAGACCACACCCGTTCCGAGAATGGACACTCAAAGAAAAGGTGGTTATGGTCTTCATTGTGGTACTGACAAAATACACATACAGTAGATTGTGTTACACCAAAAAGGTGCAACCTGTCCCCAGTGTTTAGTCTGCCCAGAATCGCCATCCAAACCACAAAACTCACTTTAGGGATATTGTGGGGGCCCCAATAAGTTCTCTTTGTTAGAGGCTAAGCAAGATTAGTTTGATATTAACTTCGCCACTTGAACAAATGAAACAATTAGGGGGCCCAAGCTAATTAGTTCCAAGAACGAAAGAGAGAAGGATGGAGGAGCACAGAGAAAGTTAGAGAGAAACTATCTTCTCTAGAGCTAGACAAGAAAGTTAGAGAAAAAAAAGTGAAATAGGAAGAAAATCAAGCGGAATTCAAATTCAACCTTTTGCACATGAGAATTGAACACTTAGGAGATTTCGAAAACCTTAAATGAGGTGTTCAAGTTAAACTAATGGTTGTTAAGTGACAATATTTGGGAGAATAAATTAAGTTACAATCACTCAGTAAATTCTCTTTGTTAGAGGCTAAGCAAGATTAGTTTGATTTAAACTTCGCCACTTGAACAAATGAAACAATTAGGGGGGCCGAGGTTAATTAGTTTCTCGAACAAAAAAGAGAGAAGGATAGAGAAGTGCCGAGAAGTTAGAGAGAAACCTTTTTCTTGAGAGCTAGAAGAGACAGCTAAAGAAAAGAAACAGAAAGAGGAAGAAAATCAATGGGAATTCAAATTCATCCTTTTGGATTTCAGAATTGAACACTTAGATGATTTGGAAAAGCATAAATTACGTGCTTAAGTCAAACTAGTATCGATAATTACTCAGTAAATTCTCTATCTTTGAGGCTAAGCAAGATTAGTTTGACTTAAACTTGCCACTTAAGCTAATGGAACAATTAGGGTCCCAAGCTGATTAGTTCCTTGAACGAAATAGAGAATGATGGAGAAGCATAGAGAAAGTTAGAGGGAGACTTTTATCTTGAGAGCTAGAAGAAGAGAAAGTTAGAGAAAAGAAAGAGCAGTAGGAAGAAAATCAAAGGGAATTTACATTCATCCTTTTGGAGTTGAGAATTTAACACTTAGGTGATTTTGAAAATCATAAATGAGGTGTTTAAGTTAAACTAATATCGTTCAGCTACAGTTACTCAGTAAATTCTCTTTCTCAGAGGCTAAGCAAGATTAGTTTGAGTTAAACTTGGCCACTTAAACTAATGGAACAATTAGGGGCCCAAGCTAATTAGTTCCTAGAACAAAATAGAGAAGGACGGAGAAGCACAAAGAAAGTTAGAGAGAAACTTCTTTCTTGAGAGATAGAAGAGATTGTTAGAGAAAAGAAAGAGAAACGGGAAAAAAAATCATAGGGAATTCACATTCGTCCTTTTGGGCATGAGAATTGAACAGTTGGGGAATTTGGGAAACCTTAAATGCGGTGCTTATTTTTAACTAATATCGTTAAGTGGCAATTACTCAGTAAATCCTCTTTCTTAGATGCTAAGCAAGATTTGTTGGAGTTAAACTTGGCCACTTAAGCTAATGGAACAGTTAGGGTCCTAAGCGAATTAGTTTCCTAGAACAAAAGATAGAAGGATAGAGAAAGTTGGAGAGAAAACTATCTTCTTGAGAGCTAGACGAGAAAGTTAAAAGAATAGAAAGAGAAATAGGAAGAAAATTAAAGGGAATTCAAATTCATCGTTTTAGACTTGAGAATTAAACGCTTAAGTGATTTCGGAAAACTTAAATGAGGTGCTTAATGTTAAACTAAGATCGTTATGCGACAATGACTCAGTAAATTCTCTTGCTGAGAGGCTAAGCAAGATTAGTTTAAGTTAAACTTGGCCACTCGAGCAAATGAAACAATTAGGGGCGCAAGCTAATTTGTTCTCGGAACAAAAGAGAGAATGATGGAGAGGCACAAAGAAAGATAGAAACTTTTTGCTTTGATAGCCAGAAGAGAAAGTATAAGAGAAAAGAAAGAGGAATTGGAAGAAAGTCAAAGGGAATTCATTCAAATTCATCCTTCTGGGCTTGAAAATTTAACACTTTAATGATTTAAGAAACCATAAATGTGGTGCTTATGTTAAACTGATATCGTTAAGCTACAAATATTCAGTAAATTCTATTGCTCAGTGGCTATGCAAGATTAGGTTGAGTTAAACTTGGCCAGTTAAGCGAATGACACATTTACGGGACCCAAGCTAATTGGTTACTAGAACAGAATGGAGAAGCATGGAGAAGCACAGATAAAGTTAGAGAGAAACTTTCTTCTTGAGAGCTAGCAGACAAAGTCAGAGAAAATGAAAGAGAAATACGAAGAAAATTATAGGGAATTCAAATTGATCCTTTTGGACTTGAGAATTGAACACTTGGGTGATTTTGAAAACCTCAGATGGGATGTTTAAATTGAACTAATATCTTTAAGCTACAGTTACCTGTAAATTTGTTTTCTTGGAGGTTAAGCAAGATTAGTTTGATTTCAACCTGGCCACTTAAGCTAATGAAACAATTAGGGGCCCAAGCTAATTAGTTCCTAGAACGAAAGAGAGAAGGATGGAGAAGCACAGAAAAAGTCAGGGAGAAACTATCTTCTTGAGAGCTAGACAAGAAAGTTAGAGAAAAGAAAGAGAAATTGGAAGAAAATCAAACGGAACTCAAATTCAACCTTTTGGATTTGAGAATTGAACACTCAGGAGATATCAAAAACCTTAAATGAGGTGTTTAAGTTAAACTAATGTTGTTAAGTTACAATTACTCAGTAAGTTCTCTTTTTTCTTATGGGTGAATAAGTCATAAAATGAAAGACAAAAAACTTACTCCACGACAAGGGGCATACCTCAGGCCCTAACCAAAGCACTATACAAGAACCAAAGAAAAAACAAAAAGACTAAGCCATTCCAGAATTACCCAGAAAGACTGATGACCAAACCATATCTATCTGGACAAAATAAATAAAATAAACCAAAAACTAAACTAAATAAACCATACATAATAGGAAGTAACCAAAGTTGAGCATAGATAACTGTGCGTTAGTGTAGTGAGCAATTATATGTGTGATGTTAAATGTTTCATGTTTCTAGTCTGCATATTAATTCTGTTTGGTCTTTGCTGGATTACAAGTCTACTATAAAGTGCGTAGAATCTGTTGGGTTACTGGTTTAGAGCAGTCTTGGACGCGTGTGCATGGTTTGTTCTTCAGTTCGGGTTGACTCGAAGCTCGAAGCGGATATGATTGTTGTTGATGGTGCTATATGCGCCTCGTGTGTAAGATTGACTTTCCTTATGTTTGTTTTCTTTAGAGTTGTTGGTATTTTGCCTACCCGTGTGGATGTACACGCGTGTCGTGATTTTCTGTTTCCACGACTTTTTGCTACTTAGATATCGGGGTGTTCATGTTCCTCATTACATTTCATGCGGCACATAACACAC